TAGCGGATTAATGAAGCAGAAGCCCCATGCAAATATGAAAAAGAAAAAAAAAATAAAGATAAAAAATGTTTTCCCGTTCTTGTATACTGACACAACCGGAAAAGCCCTTTTTTTAGTGGCTTTCTGGCTGAAATAATGGAAGATGTTCCCCAAGTAAATGGGATGAACTGTTTCACTAATGCGGATTATGCTGTGCACTTGGGCCAGGCATTTTTCTTGGGAATGGTGGTGGGGGGTGGTAGCTCACTGATCCAGTTTCTCTAATTTAAGGCACGGGTGTTGGAGCGGGGAGGAGCTGCAGCTGAAAACGGGATTGATCTCTGGGCTGCTGCGATAACGGGAAAACGTCTGCAGCTGCTCCTCAAGTAGCAGGGAAAACTGGTACCGCAGTGCCATCTGACAGTAATCCCAGGCTGACACGAGCTGTCAGCTGATGCCATGCCTGCTTGACACTAGGATTCTTTGCCCATCCCCTTCAGCCCCCATTGCGTTTCTGATAAAAAAAGAGCTCATTTTGTAATAGCCGCAGTGTGTGTCAGTTGGCGCTGTGGCGTGGAAGCTACACTGCTGCCTCGCAGCCTTGTTTCCTGGTTTGACCCTTCTGTGTGGAACCTGCATGTTCTCGGCAGGCCGCTTGAGTTTCCTTTAAGTGTTCCCCTCCAAAGATATGACGTGTAGGTTAGTTCTCTAATTATTTTTTCCTTTCTTTATTTTACTTGTTTCTGACAATTTTGCTTTGTGCTCTTTTTTGAGTCCCAGCATTCATCTCAGCTGGATGTTATTTCCCAGGACTCTGCCAGGCATAAAAGCAATGTGGATCGAAAGGACTGCCTCGTTGGTCCATTTAGGTCACAGTCTTTTTCTCTGCTGATGTTACTGACGGAAGGTTTCCACCTGATTCCTGGGAATTATGAAGTGTTTGTTCTTCATAGCCAGGAAGTCTGGTTTAAAGTAAATGTCCTCCATTGACCGGAGTGACATACTGGGAGATCATCCTTCCTAATGCTGCAGTAGAAAGTTAAAGCTTCCTAATGCTAAGCCAAGAGCTTTCAAACCTGGTACAGGCAGACGTGTGGAGCAGTAGTTAGGGTTCTGGACTCGTAATCAGAAGGTTTTGGGTTCCAATCCCAGGTGAAACACTGCTGTTGCACCCTTGAGGAAGGTGCTTCACCCAGATTGTTCCAGTTAAATACCCAGCTGTATAATTGGGTGCAAATGTAAGTCACTTTGGATAAAATAAATGTCATCCACATAAATGTAAATGTCAACTTCCCCTGGGTGAGAAGCTACTCCATTGCAGTTTAGCGCCTCTTGTGCTGTTCTGTAACCCACATAACCTGCAGTTTGATGCTATTATTGTTGTAAGTGGGGCAAAGTTATCAGTGATTCTGTGATTCTACAAGCCACACAATGTTTTACCTGCTGTGATCTGGAAGTAGTTATATTACATTGTAATAGGTCATATTTTAATAGGAGGTGCAGTGGTTAGCATTGGAGCCCTAGGTTCAATTCCTGGGGTGCTATCTGCTTGGAGTTTGCATGTTCTACCCTCATTCATCCGGGTTTCGTCAGGGTGCTCCAGTTCCCTCCCACAGTCCAAAATACATACTGGTAGGTTCATTGGCTCCTGGGACAATTGGCCCTGGTGTGAGTTTGTGTGTGTGTGTGTGTTGTGTCCTGCAATGGACTGGCCTCCCAACCAGGATGTATCCTGCCTTGTGCCTGTGATTGCTGGGATAGACTCCTGCTCCCACGGGACTGCGTATTGGATAAAGCAGTTAGAAAATGGAAGGCTGGATATTCTATTAGATGCTTATGGCCTCTTTTTAATGAGTTTAGCATGTATAACAGTCTTAATTGTACCTCATAGTATAGGTGGTAATCCTGACCCTCCAACAATATGTTAAGCCATTTTACACTCGTATACACTAACAAAGTAGTTTACAGTAAAGAAATACTGTATATGATGTTCTATATCATGTAAACATGTATAACATGTAGGTTGCTGATTATGAAAGTGCATATTTGCTGTACTCTTTGATTGTGTGTGGGTGTCTGCACCCTACCTCTGTGTCTGTGTGAGAGAGTGGTGACGATTGTGTGTGCGTGAGAGTGAGAGACTGCCCTCAGTAAACGAAAGGGTGTCAGCTTTTGTGTGTCCTTATGAAGCTAAGATGCGTCAGTCTGGCACCTGAGGTTTCTTCGAGAGCAGTCTCCCTCTGTGCTGGCAGACGCTGGCGACTGGTTACCAGTGTGAGGGCGAAAGCAGCTGAGAGGGGTGGGCACAGTGCTGAACCCCCTCCCGCCCTGGATAAGACATGTGTGCCCAGACACACAGTGCAAATCTCCCACTTGCGTTGTAGCCAGCAGCCAGCCCAGGTTGAGAAGCAGTACTCGCTTAGCAGTTTTGGCCTTTTCAAATTTTGTCATTTGCACGCTGCAAATTCTTGTATATGAGCTAACCCCCGATACCGCGAGTCCCGTGCTCGTCGTTCCCTAACTTTGAGCAAATTTGTGTGGACCAGCATGTGGATGGAAAGATCACATTAAAAAAAGCTTTGCTTTCTTTCTCATCAGTGGGATCTCTGCAACAGCTCGAGACAAAACCAGCCACTCTGCAAAGGGTCCACATTTAGTCACTGAGAGCTCAGCCTATAAAGAACACAAGGGCTCATTTTTAGAAGTTTTGATTTAAAGGGAGATAATCTATGGAAGGAGCTAAAATAAAGACCAATGAAATGATACAGTCTGTAGCACAATTCTAGGACATTTTTACAGGTCAGAATAATTTTATGTTTCAACGGCGTAATTTGCCCCATTTGTTGTGTTTTCAGCTAAACCAGCCAAGTGATTTCCGTCTCCTCATTTCTGAAACAGTTGTGAAGCATCCATGCGGAGCACTAGGCAAATCTTGCAAGGCTCCTAAACAACAAGAAGCGATAACGATCCATTTTAATCATCTCTTGTTGGCACAGTGGCATTTTAAATAAATAGTGTGCACAGGTAGAGCAGTAAAGTTGAAACTGTGAACTGGAAGAGAAGCTATCCATCACTTAACTGCTTTGTTGAGAATGGTTGGGGAAAAAAAGTTAGAAATCTCAAGTTCTGCCCTATTCTGCAATTATCTCCTGATCACGAATTGAAATTCTCTCAGGATCTTGGTGTTATGAATTAATAGCCATAGTAACTTTAATAAAACCCATGACACCCTGGGAATTTAACACAGGCGAAGATCTATCTACTAAGCAGGTGCTCAATTTGTGTTTCAATTGCTCAGACCACCAAATTCATTTTATCAGAGTTGGGCGAATGCCAGAGCTTCTGAACTGCTTAATAAAGCTGCTCCCTTTTCTGAACTTACTGTCAATCTTACCTGTTACCTGTTACCTGCTCCATCTGGGCACAGTTCTTTCTAGTCCAGAGGCCCGATTGTATTTCTCTTGTACTTTCCATGCGTTTCATGCCATGTATTGTTGATTTATTTCAGAATGGATAATACAGCAATTTTTCAGGTCACCCTCACTAATAAATAAAAGAGATGTTATTGCACATAGAGCTGCAGGTGTGCAGTACAAGCCAGAATCCACTCACCTGGCCCAAGAGTATCATGTCATGATTTCATGACTGTTTTTCCTAGGATAGGTACACACTAGGGAATGAATTTTCCCACAGAAGTGAAAGATGCCTCATCACATTAGTACATTTTGCTTCCATTAAGAATTTAAAGCGTGTATGCACAAAGTACACATTGTACATACTATTTTGGGCGAAAACTGTCATGTGACATTAAATGTAGGGGTGTCAGCTCCTCCACACTAACTGGCACCCCTAACTATACAAGACCAAAGTTCTTTCTCTGGACTGAACCTTTTCTTTTTGCCTTTTTGTTAATTACTTGAAAATATAATATTTTAACAATGTCTTCACTTTCATCTCCTTTAACTCCTTGAAGCACACTTGTACATTGTTTTATACCTGTTGATTTCATTGTGTTATTAGCTGGCAGAAATAGCAATCAAAATATAAAAAAAATGGAACCCATAACTGCCTCCTTAAGCACAATTTCAATTATACGCATGTGTGATTTAGCACATACTAAATGCAAAATGTTGTGTTTTCTTGTTAGTGAGTGCTGTATAATCCTCATTTAATACCAGCTAGTTAGTTCGAAAGTAAATGTTAATCCCTGTCTTTTCAGTGTTCATTTCTTTTTTTTGCATTTGCATTTCTCTTTTTAGTAAGTGACTTCCAGTGTTCATTTAACGCTAGGTCATCAGTAAAAAATTAAATGGTAATCTGTGTATTTCGAGTGTACTGCGTAGTTAAAAGGTATTATTAGCAAAATATTATTTGTTTAGTGAAATATAGCCCCGGGGAAGCTTTACTGTCTTTTATTGTTCCAGATGGGAAATTAGCTTTGCAGGCAGGTAGAAGACACAACACAATGCACAGTACATTTAACACAACTTAAACCCATTCACAAATAGGTGACATACAGGTATGATGAGACACATGAGAAAAAATTAATATATGAATGAAGTTAAATATACAGTCAGTTGTCTACATCAAACAGGTTAATAGCCATGGGAATAAAATGTCTTCCTTCTATTGTGCTTGAATCTCAGACCATGCCCAGATGGAAGGGGCTCAGAGTGCTGTGGATGTGAGAGGCCCCCTGACCCCTGACCCCTGAGCCCCCTGAGCCCCCTGAGCCCTGAGCCCCCTGGGCCCTGAGCCCTGAGCCCTGAGCCCCCTGAGCCCCCTGAGCCCTGAGCCCTCTGAGCCCTGAGCCCTCTGAGCCCTGAGCCCTGAGCCCTGAGCCCTGAGCCCCCTGAGCCCTGAGCCCCCTGGGCCCTGAGCCCTGAGCCCTGAGCCCTGAGCCCCCTGAGCCCTGAGCCCTCTGAGCCCTGAGCCCTCTGAGCCCTGAGCCCCCTGAGCCCTGAGCCCCCTGGGCCCTGAGCCCTGTGTGCGTCTCTCACGGCCTGCGCGGTGTGTTGCAGGTTCCAGCGGGGGGAGTACACTGTGGAGGTGAGCATCAATGACTACCTGGACATCTACTGCCCCCACTACGAGGACCCCCTGCCGCAGGAGAGGATGGAGCGCTACATCCTCTTCATGGTCAACTACGACGGCTACACCACCTGCGACCACCGCATGAAGGGCTTCAAGCGCTGGGAGTGCAACCGGCCGCAGAGCCCCAACGGGCCCCTCAAGTTCTCCGAGAAGTTCCAGCTCTTCACCCCCTTCTCCCTGGGCTTCGAGTTCCGCCCGGGACACGAGTACTACTACATCTGTGAGTGTGCCCCGCCTCTCGCTCCCATCCATTTTCTACCTGCTCTGTCCGCCACAGGGTCGCGGGAGAGCCTGAGCCTGTCCCGGGCAGCAGGGGGCACAGGGTGGGGTACAGCCTGGAGGGGACGCCAGTCCAGCAGTCCACCACAGGGGGCGCACACACACTCGCACCAGGGCCAGGTTTCCCAGAAGCCAGTGAACCCACTACTGGAAACTGGAGGAAACCCATGTGAACACGGGGAGAACATACAAACTCCACACAGACAGCCACTATGCCACCTGCCTCTGTTTCCCTTACTTCGCAATCTTCAGAGCCGTCTTAGTTTTTTATGCTAATATTTTCTTCAGTGTAACATTGGCATCTCGTGTTCAGAAAGGAGCAGCGGAGATTCAGGGTTTAATTAATACGCCTGCCTTGTGCTGATTCAATTTGGCATTCAGGACATGAACAGTCCTGCTTCTTTGCAGGGAATAAAGTAAGAGGGCATTTTGCACTGGAGCAGAAAGCAGTTTGTGAAATTTGCTTGATTTTTTTTTAACTGCAACTGTTTCCTGCAAGTGCAATTCGCCAATCCTTTTCTATTTTCTCAGAGCCTTCAAAGGCAACACTCTTGAGAAAAGGAAGTGCTGGAACCCGGCCCATAAGATTCCTGCTTGGTGCTGTGTTTTTTCAAGATGTTGCCAGCAGTAGTGTAAATATCCATTACAAAGAAAATGTTCCAGTGTTTCTCAGAGTTTTGCCTGTTTGTGTGCTTGACTTAGGTGTTCAGAACACTCACCCGGCTACCACATAACCCCACTGGATTAAAGGAGAAAAAGCTTAAAGGAGAATTAAGATAATACTTTCAGAAGAGAGTTTTCTCTCCTAGACAGGGAACTATATCTCAAGCGCAAGGCATCAAGAAATATCCAAACACCAGGACACAACTCATCGTCATTAAATTTCAGTTTTAATTTTATGATGGTAATTTCACTGTGCTTTATAAAGTGTTTGCCCCACTTTCATGTAAGCTAGTATTTCCACATCATTAACTGCACTGTTATTAGACAGAGTATGTCCATAACAAATTCGGTACTGTTGCTCCTTATCTCAGAACACTAAAATAAATCACACACTTATCCCTCCCCTCCCACATTAAAGTGGAGTATATCGCTACAGCCACAAATACAGCAGAACTCCTAACCTTGCAGAACTGATCTGTTTGTACAGTTTAGCACCTGAAACAGAGCTGAGAAACTGCAAAAGCTGACTAAGCAGAAATTAGATCGGTTCTGGCTGGGAGGCAACTGGTCAGAAGGAAAACTCCGAAAACATTTTCAATTAAATTTCCAATTATGCTTCAATTGCATGTATTGATAAGAAATCTTCTTATGAGTTATGTCCATGCATGAGTGCCAAAAAGTCCTGTTTGTGCCTAGAACTTGCAGCGTACCAAATGTCATTGAATTCGGAGCTGCGTCCTGGTGGCGCACTTGTCTGAGCTGAGACATTGACCCTTATTTTTGTTTCTGTAGATGACTTGTGTGCCCCGGGTCAAGCTCTCAGCTCAGCAAACACTTGTACAGCACCTCCATTGTAAACTTGAAAGCTGAGCAACGTTCGTCAAACAAGGTTTACAGCATAAAAAAAGACACAAAGCACAGTTTCAGCCTTGAGCTCTTGTCTCTCTTGGAGCAACCAGCCTGCGCCTCCCACATTGTCCCAGCTCCTGGTCCACGTTCCACCTGGCTTTTAGCTGCCTGTGAAACTCCTCTTCCCTTTCTGGGGAAATTCAATTTGGCACTTTCCTCACTCTTCGATCCTACTCGCCCTTTAAAAGGCTTTATAAGGAGGCACCTGTAATTTCATTTCAGCACTCTGGTCTCTTAAACGGGTTATGTTTGCTGACTGCTGAGTGCTTTATTGCCTTTTAATGTCTTGCGCACAGCTTTGGGGATGTACTTGACCAAGCACTACCTGATCTAAAAACAAACATATCGACCACCGTGAGGTCAGAACTTCGTTAACAGAAACAGGAAAAGGGAGACAAGGTGAGAAACGGGTCGACAGCGCGGCAGTGCTCCTTCCTGTAAGCCATCTCCTACGTGGCGGGGTGTGAAAATATTGAGAACTGAAGCTCGGCTTGTTGAATCGCGGAGTGATTTCTGCAAAGCCCTTCTTCCCCGTCAGGTCAAGCGCTGGGATTCGCGGCGGCGGCCTCAGAAAGCAGCTAATAAGAACCTGGAGGAGAGGAGAGCAGAGAGAAATCCTTTTTCTTATCTCTCAGGCCTTCTTGTGGCTGTTGTCCACAGCCAGCCAGCCCCCGGCCCAGGGCTGAGCGTATGTCATCCCTTTCCCTTGATGAAAATGTCAGTTTGTCAAATGGCGAACACGCCATCAGCAGGACCCCAGCTTCACAGGGAGAGATCAGTGCCCAGTTACGGGCGCTGTCATGCAGAACATTTAGAAATTATGCTGATTGGCAGAATCATATTTAGCAGACAAACCTGGCGGAGGCAACCGCCAGGCCTTCCCCTCCCCACCCCCTTTTAACAGCCAAATCCATTAACCTAACACAAGCGCCACACGGGGCGAGACTGTGCGATGTCTGCGTGCTCTCGGACAGCCCGAGCACATTTCACAGGATGCTCCCCGCCTCCTTCTCAAGGTCAAAATGCGCTATTTTGTTCTACATTTTCTTTTTTTCCCCCCTTGCGCATGACAGGAGTAAATTTGCTGGGGTGCGTCTGTCCCCATCTTGCTAATGGCCCTGTGAAAGGTGGCCTTTGGCCTGCTAAAAAGGCTCCCCACTGGGTGGAAACAGCCAAAGGGCTCGGGGCAGCGCGCTGACTGCATTAATGAGACCATTGGCGCTCATTTCTTTTTCCTCTTGTTTTCGGAAAGTTGAGAGAAAGAGGGGGGGGGGGAGTTCAAAAACGGATCAGGTTTTTCATCTTTAATTAAACCGGCTCATTAAGAAGGCCGTGTTTATTTGTATTATTCATTTGACCGTGTTGCTAGGAAGTCACCTTTTAGGCAAACGGCACCACCCTCAAAATGATTTGGCCTCCAGGAAGAGGTCTGGAAATGACTGATATTTCAGAACCATTTAAATCCAGTTTGTTACTGATCAAAGGACCTGCTTGTGAAGTTAATGGACCTCTGGTTTAGAAATTGAAGCCGGGGTACACTGGAGTCGCTCATTTTCAAAGCACACAGACTTCTGCCGAACAGAAGGCCAAGAGCGCAGTTCATTTACACAGCTTTTCATCGCAGCCAGGAGCCTCAGAGTGTTGCACAGTAAGGCACAGTAACACAACCAGCAAGCTACTGCTGGGGTGAAACACACCAGCCCTTCTGTGCCAGAACACCCCACAAGAACCGGTCTGTTCCAAAGGAATTAATCTAGAGTTACATTGAAAACATTTAACATCAATTTTTTATGTTCTGTTGGAGCACCCAAGATGCTTTTGGTATGTTTGGATGTTTCAGTAAGGCAAGGAGGGTGAGTGAAATAAGAAGATCTGTTCTGCAGAAAACTCCAGCAAGGAAGTGCTTGCTGTGCAAAGTCAGGAATGCTGAAGATTTTTTTTTAAATGGGATATGGATAGACAAAGTTCAGGAAGGGAATTCTAGTATTGCTAATGAACTGTGATTCGTTTGCCCATTTATACAGGCGGTTCTGAATAGATTTCTGTCCCTCTACTTACACCGCTTATTTCCTTATGAAAACAGCAGAGGACTGAGGTTGTATGGTGTCACATAAATCTTTCAGCATGCCAATTTGGGACCTCATAAAGGAAGCATAAGCATTACGTTTAGATTATGAAACATTGAGAAGCTGTTTTTTCCTTTTTTCTTTATGAATTTAGCCCTTAGTGACTGGCCTTGCTGAAGGGAGGCAAGAAGGAGGATGTGTTTTCAACAGGCGGAATTAAGACTTGGCTGTTTCTGATCTGGCTTATGGCAAACAAGGAGCAAAATGGTTGGATAGCGAGGCTTCTGAGGACGTCCAAGGCTCCTCGAGGGCAGAGTTAGTGTAGATGGGATGCTCTGATTTTGTCTTCAGAAGGAAGCCCAGGTGTCCATTTTGTCTTTCTGGGTTCTGGATAATACCCATGTCGGTGTGAATGTGTACAGAAACCTCCATTCCACAAGTGTCACGCCGCATGGCGAAGTGCACGGCATGCATCTTTGAATTATCGAGCTCCACAGGAGAAGCGCTGCACCATTTGGCAGCCCTGTCTTCCTCCCTGCTCGCCTCCAATTGGCAGCAGGGACAGCAGAACTATTTACAAATGCAGGGGGGCTGGCCTCTTTGAGTCTTGCTGTATATATTTGAATTCTGATTGTCCTTTGAGTGACGGACAGTTATTTCAGAGGAGCTGCAGCGAAGCAACAAAGGGTGGGGCGGTGGGGGGGACACAATGTCCCCCTAACCAGCAGGGCGTCCCGCAGTTTATTGTGCGCCCTGGATGTTTTCACTCTCGGAGAAGAAAAAGTTCAAAGTCAGTATTCAGTCCCCCTGCCCGTGACACGGTTCTCCATCTCGAGCTGATTTTTAATGCTCTCCCCCTGAGCACCTCCCAGCCGGCCCCTGCATTGTGTGGCTTTGTCTCGGGCAGCAGCCCGAAGCTGGGAAGTGTTTTGGCGCTATTCAGTGGCCTTCTTCTTTATTGGATCTGGGAGAAAAGAGGTTTGTTTGGCTACTACCAATATTGTAGCTGTCAGGGCCCCCGAGGTCTTGGGGCAGAGGACGCCGAGCAGGGGGTAACCTTGGTTATCTGTGGACAAAGGCGCTTGTCCATCACTGCCCCCCTTCCCCAAATCTTGAGTGAGTCAAAGACAGGAGGTGAAACCAACCTAATGCTCTCAGCATTCACCCCCTGATCCCCCCCCCCATCCCGAAGATTGATCCGCGGGTGACAGCATTTTGACAGCTGCTTCTCCACAGCTGTGCTCCGTCGAGCTTGGGTGCACACCGCTGAGCCCAGGATCCAGTGTGGGAATGCGGCGGGAATACAAAACGGTCCTGTCGATGGGAACGGACGGACGGGGGGGGGGCGGGGAATTGTGGGCAGGTAGGGGTTTGAGGGGGTCAAGAGAACAGGTTGGCAGCTGGTTCTGCCTTTCTGAATTGGGGGCTCGCAGCCCATCCCCAAATCATGGGTCCATCCCAACTTCTCCAAGGTAACAAACAGCATTGTGTGTTCCGTTGTTCCGTTGGGAGGGGGGAGAAAATGAGGCCTATTTGTTCCTTGTTCCACACACCTCGCAAAATTGTTTCCTGCACAAAGGGAGCACTTGTTAAGAAATCCATTACTGGAAAGACTATCATTAGTGATGGGCTTTTATGTGTCTGTTTTTATTTTTGATAACAAAATGCCTTGTCATTTTAAAGGTACGTAAAATGAGAACACTGTAGTAAAATTGTAATTAAGATTCCATTAGGACCAAAAAAAAAATTCCAGCAAAATGCAGTCTTAAAGTGTTCAAACGTTTTCTGGCTCTTCCAAAGTGGGGACTATACATTAAGTGCAGAGAACAGCTAAAGGAGTAATTTCCATCATGTGTGTTTTTATGGTTACTTCATCTTTCCTTTTCTGTTTAAACATGCTTTCTCTATGACCCCCTTCTTTCGTTATGTCTTTGGCTAGTGTAGTCAAGTCTTTGACCAGGAGAGTACAATTTTGTTCTGTTCCCTCGTGGATGGTGTGGTCTGCAAGGTGATTGGTGATCACTGGTGTTGCTTCTGTAGGGCACCAGACATTAACATGGTCTTACTCTGATCACTGAAAGCCATTTACAGTGTAAAGGCATTTGGTGAGGTCATACAGACAGCGGCTGTGATCTGTGCGTTATTGTTATAGACAGAGAAACTGCTTTAACTTACACGGATTACATCTTTCTAACCTTCAATGTTGTGCTGTGCTTAATGGTTATACTTGACGATGAGGATGATATTTATTTTATTAAAACAGCTCAACAGGATTCAGTGTTGGGTCTCAAATGTATTCTCCTTCTTACCTATTTTTATCAGCTATGGAATACAGAGTAGTTGTCAACGATAACAATAATGATCCAAAAAGCTGATCCAAAAAGATGCCTGAACAATCAAGCAGTTTTTCAGAAAATGATTGACCAGCTTGCAGGATTAGTCTGCTTTTGTATTCATGGTAGCTTCACTAATGCCCCTCTGTCTTTCTGTTCCCCAGCATCCCCTCATCCTAACCTTGTTGGGAAGCCCTGCTTGAAGCTGAAAGTATACGTGAAGCCGACAAGTAAGTTACCCCTAAACTTGCCAACACAGAGAGCATGAAAATCCTGATCCAACACTGAGAAACACTTTTTTTTCATTAGACGTTAAGATGTTTTAACATGAGTTTTTGCCAGTCTTAAACTGTAACTGCAGCATCCAGATCCCAGCTGGTTTAAGACCTAGCAACCCTGATAGTGAAAAACATGGTGGAGGATGTGGGCCACACTGTTAAAAGTCTGGGTGTAAAAGAAACTGGGGGGAAAAACTATTCTCTCTGTTATTCCAAAAACATAAAAAAATAAGACTAACAGTCTTGCAGGTCCTGCCACACAAAAGACAGGAAAGCTTTGTCTGGCACGCCCTTTTAAATCCAGAGAGGGGCCTTGCTAAGTTCGGACAGTGAGCACTCTGTCACCTCTTTGCCTCTCTGGAAATGTACTCCTCTACTTTTTCTGCAGAGGGAAAACTAACCTCTATAACTCTGCCCCCATGTTCAGTCAGAACAGTCACCCTTGATAAATAAGTTTAACTAAATCACTAATTAATAATGTAACTAATGGTACTCAACCAGTTCAAGCCTAGATTTGACAGTTTACAATCTGAAAACCCAAACGACTCTTTCAGAAACACAGCTGCTAAGAACACTGGTGCCACTATCAATTCACAGCTGCACCCAGCAAAACTGAATATCAGCTAGCATTTACCTATCGGTGCTGGGTATCAATGTGACACTTGTACTGTGGCATAAATCCCTGATCCTTGCATGTTTCTGCCTTACTTTCAATCCATCATTGGCCTCTTTGGAGCAGTTAAGTGGGCTAGGTCATTAAAAAAGGATTTTCAGAGACAAGCTTTTTATTTGTGGAAGTTCGGGTAGCTGGAATAAGCTATCTGATGGTATTAAACATCTGTCACAATACAGAGAGATACAGGAAGAAGGCCTGTCATTGAGGAGGAAGGGTCCTTGAAATGTACTTTTTAAATGCAGTTTTCCAGATTGACTTTGAACAATTTAATATGCAGTTCGTGTGACTGATGTGGCATTTCATCGTGGCTGAAAAGACGGTGCCTGTGCCGCGTGACAGAATTTGAATAAAAAGTCACATTTCTGCTCACTGGCCTAAAAACGTGAGATTTGTCTGCATAAGCACAAGATTTGGAATTCCTGGTGTAAACCATGAAGTATGGCACCACATATGACAGAAATAAACTTGACTCCTAGGGTAATTAGCCTGCAGCTGTAGTTTACGTCTAGATGAAACTTACTTTGCAGTCATTTGAAGCAGTTTACGCAAAGGCAGGAAGTTGAACAATTTTCAGACAGTTGAACAAAGTTCGGACAACTGAAGACAGATGGACCATGTCTGAACTTCCCAATCTTTTCCTGTGCCCTGTGGTCTAAATTTCACCCTGATGCATGTGACATGCATCAGGGTGAAATTTACTGTACTGTACAGTAAAAAGGTGCTGTCCTTAGGATGAGATGTAAAACTGAGGTCCTGACTCTCTGTGGTCATTAAAAATCCCAGGGTGTTTCTTGAAAGAGTAGGGGTGATACTCTGCTGTCCTGGTCAAATTTCCCATTGGCCCTTACCAATCATGGCCTCCTAATAATCCCCACCTCTGAACCGGCTTCATCACTCTGCTCTCCTCCCCACTGAGAGCTGGTGTGTGGGGGGAGTACTGGTGCACTCTGGCTGCCGTCGCATCATCCAGGTGGGGCTGCACATTGGTGGTGGAGGGGAGTCCCCATTACCTGTAAAGTGCTATATAAGTGTAAGGAATAATTATTATTAAATTGGTCCCCCTCTGTGTGGAGGGCGTCGCTCCAGCCCTCCCTTGGTCTAACATCTCTTCTGTCTCTCTGGGATGGTTTCAGATGACTCCGTGTACGAGTCCCCAGAGCCCTTCCTCACCGACGACAACTCGGGCTGCGGGCTGGCCGGCCCCCGGGTGTCTCTGACGCTGGCCGCGCTCTTCACACTGCTGGCCACGTCGTAGCACCGCCATGGGAGCGGGCAAGGTACTGCTGGCGCACCCAGGGCAACGGACACGGAGACCCTGCGGCGGTCGTGCCCGCGTGCTCCACCCCCTCGCCAACGCCGCCGCCCGCTCTGCCGTCGCCGCCCCCACCCAGCGCTGCTCGGGCGCGGGAACGAGCCCGGAGGGCCTTCGGCGTGCTGGACCCGACCGGAGCTCCGCAGGAACTGCGCGGCTCTCCGCCCGCGCCCAGTCCCCGGCCGCGACTCCACGAGCTCCGCGACGAAACCGGGATTCCCGGACTCTTTTCGAGCCTCTCTGTTTGTTGACCGAGCCCCCCCCGCCCAGCTCCCCAACCACTTCCTCCTTCGTGGTGCTTGTCGTCTGGTGTGCTTCTTCGCTCACGTCGAGGCCAGGCTGACCGTTGGCCTCCTTCAGTTCCCAGGATTTTCACTCCTCCGCCTGTACAAGCTGGTGTCTGTTGTGTGCGTTTGTTTTCTAAAACTCGTCCTGCAGTGACTGGAGAAACGGCCAGCGGACATCTCTCGTAGCCGTCGGCGTTGTCCAAACTCCCCCTCACCCTCTCTGCCAATAAAGCAGCAAAAGGCATTTACTGGAAACCTGCCAAAGACACCCTACTTCTTTGTTTTTTTTTATGATGTTTCGAGGTTGTTAGACCTTCAGCATTTGCCCTTGGAATCCTCTAGTGTCACTTGAGCTGGTCCCACGGAGGGCAAGATGAGGGTTTTCTTTTTTAAGAGAAAAAAAAAATCTTTTTTTAAAAAAAAAGGTTTGGTGAACCCACCTTTTTCATTGGTGCTGATGAGCCTCTTCTCGCCCCCCACAAAACCGCAGCATTGAAGAGACGGGCTTTGATTCTGTGACGATGATCAGTTTTGTGAATTGCCGATGTTCTACTGAATGTGGAGTTTCCTTTACTGCACCCAGTGCTCCATTTACACCTTCCCCTCCAAGGTACATGAGATCTTCGCAGCTGCTCAGTGTGGAAGGACAACCCCCTGCTTGACTGTTGTGAGCGCTCTGAGAATTGTGCGACTCGGGGGGGGGATCAGAAATGTCCCCCCTAGTGGTGGGAAATTGTCACAGCAGCTGCCTTCAGATATTTTGAAGCTTCGTAGCACTTCTGCTTACTGAAATGGACAGTCCCGTTTTGTAACCTGACTAAAAAGGGAGTCAATTTCTGACTGATTTAAAAGAAATTAACAATTCTCTCCAGAGTAGGCATCTCAGATAAAAAAAAAAGGTTTTAACAAGACCGGAAGAAAGGACAAAACATTTTAAATGTATCTAAATGCAACTTTTCTATTTTATTTTATTCCATGCTATTTTTTACTTTTGTTTTTTAAAAGCAGCAGAAATGATTCACATGTGCTATTATTATAATGTAGTCCCTGCAGTGTGTAGAGCGATGATGGCACCTGTCTGTGCAGACAGACAGGTTTAGAGGAGTCCGCTTTTTTGCTATTGTTGTTGTAGTTTTTTCTTGTGTGTATCACAATGCATTCTGGTACTTGTAGTCCCGTAACAATTTTGGGAAAATGGTCAAAAACATCTAATGGTGTAATTGCAAACCAACTTATTTTTCCTTTTCCATTTTATTTTTTCCATGTGCAAATGTGTTTCAGTTTCTTATGCAGTGTCTTGCTTTTTGGCAAATGAAAGCTTCAAGAAAAGAACTTAAATAAAAGCTTTTGTTCATAGCAAAAACAGTTCTGGTTAACAGAATGGAGTATCTGTGTAACATTTAAAAGGATCTGTAACCATAAAGCAATCAGTGACGAGTTATTTGCTTTAAAGTTAAAATTCATATACTGTATATAGAACACATGTTTCCTCACTTGAAGTGGGAGGTTTACTTAAGTGATTTTATATTCACTAAAAGAACTTTCAAAACGTCCAGTCTGTTTTTGCATATATTTGCAAATTGGTTAAATCACACTTCAGTTGAAAGATTGAATATAAAATAAAACAGTGTTTAAGAGAAAATAAATATTTGTACCAAGTAAACATTTACTTGCATTGCTACCCTTTTAAATTATTTCTAAAAACCCTAGAACAGAAAGACAGAATTGGTTGACTAGACTTGACCAAAAGATTGATCATCTTCATCTTCCAGGTGCCTAACGAGCTGATAGAATGATAGCTCTCTGACTCCATGTGATGGGTGTATGATTCTTGCTGGGATAGTGAAACAGTTCAAGAATGGTCTCTCAGTCTCTACTAGCCACTGCCTTTTAATATCTCTTAAGGGTTGTGCAAAAGTCCATAAATGTCCATTCATTTATATGGTTAAGAATGCAATCTACCAAAACCAGTTTTGCTCCTCCTTATGGTTTCCACAACCCCAAAGTGGTTTCCGTTTCTCTCAAATGCCGAGTCACTGGAACGTCACAATTTTTCACCTCCCCCCAACAGTGAAATAATTGAAGGGTGCATTTATTTCTTTGTGAGCCTTTCTGATTAACCTGAATCAGGTCACTCTTAGGGGTCATTTAAAAGTTCTAAAATTTCCCAGGGACGCCTAGGGCATTCTCACAACAAAAGAGCTGAGGGTAATAAAGGGAAATTTGTCCCCACAGCACAGTTAATTTACCTGTAACCCTGCACCTGTGTCACTCAAAGTAAGGAAGAAGCAGACTAAATTCAGGTACTACAGATGTCTGAGACTATATTTATCTTTAGATAACTTCTCCAGGTTGGGGTTGGAGACACAGATATGAGAGGATGGTGTTAGATATGTTTATTAATTAAGGATCTAGAACAGACTACTTGTGTTAATTTAAAGGCTTAACAAAGGAGGAACCGAAGACTCATTCAGCCTGGTGTAAAGTTTTGGTTGTGTTGCAGTGCATTTTATCTAACTGTTGTTTGAAAGTAAATGCACAAGATCCCCTACTTTTCTAGTGGACAGGATTTTCCTTATTAGGAAAATGCATATGTCCAGCTGATGGGTGGACTGGATAGTTCCAAGGAGCTGCCCAAAATTTTGGTTCAGAAAATCATAGGCCTTCTGTTCAGCTTCAGGTGGTACTAACTCCAGGAGAAATACTGATACATAAATTCTGGTATTTTAATAAAGAAAAGTGCTGGCTTGGGATCACTAGGATGAGATATTGGTTGCTTAAGCTCACACTCCTAGTGGAGATGTTTTGAATGACCATGGGGAGCTGGAAAAGAAGACTGAAAAACTTCATTTTTAAAATGTTTTCCTCGATTTTTTTTTTTTTAATGAACGCAGAGCCTTGGCTGCAGAGACAGCAGTCCTGTGTTTTCAGAAGCATCATGGTTAGGCGGGGATAGGTTTTGTATGACCAATAAATAGAACACTTCTGTTTCAGTCCACCTCTGTGTCTATATGATACAAATAAAACATATACAGCATATATTCATTTTGTCTCAGAGCACATAACCCCAAATTCATTGACATTATGGCAATTTTTTGGTAGACCACGGAAATCCCAAATATTGTAGCTTGATGTTTAGAACAGGCTCATTATCCCGAGAGCACAGCTCTCTTTCTCATGTTATTCCTGATGGGAAGCAACCAGGAAAATTTGTACTGTATAAGGGCCAGATAGAAACTGATGCCCCACTTTCTTTTCTCAAGCAAAATGGATTTGCCAACTAATTGCTGCAGGGCTCTATAGGTATATTGTGGAGCTCTGCAGCAAGGAGAGGGCAATTTCAGTACTGAACGTTTCATTCTTCTCCTGTGGGAAGTACATTCTTAAAAATTGTGCATTTTCTGCGCGACCCTTGTATCATCTTACCATATTCCTTTAATCCACGCAGTAAGCATACGGTGAATGGAGAGGCATGAAAAATAACAGTAAAAGGTGAATGCTGTGCTGTGTATTTCAGGGCTCAGTACTGCTTATTGGTGGATTGTGCACTGCCTGATGAACACTAATCTTTGACTGCTTAACGTTAATTTAGGTGAGCTGTTCTAGGACAAGGACAAATCAACATCTGCGAAACCAGCTTATAGACCTTAGTAAAATAAATAAAATATTAGCACCCTATGAGCTTACCTTCACAGAAACCTGAGATTTAAGCAAAGAGCCTGGTGACAGGAATGACTCGGTGATTGACTAATTACACGGCCTCAAACAAGCAATGAGAGGGAGACACCAGTGAGAGTGAAAAAATCAGAAATGCGGCATTTAGCACCACAGGCATGTCAGAATTCTCACTCACGAGGTGTCTGCCACAGGTGCCCATGGCATCGTGTTGCCATCATGACCGTGTCCTTTCTGCGATGGATGAAACTGCTTGTGCACACATGTGAAATGAGATATTGTGTCCGTTCTTGGGCTCTCATTGCCCATTGGTAATGTTCAGAGATTCTCACCCCAATGCTAATTTCTTTACTGTTTTTGGTCTATTTCGCTGTACGCCCACCCAGTTTGGTGATCGTCAGGCATTTCCTTCGGTCTCAGCTCCCCTGGAGAGCTGCAGGGAGAATGAGAAAGGCCTCATCTCCAAATACATGATGAGCAATTCACCCCTTTGGCATCTGACACTCCATTCACCCACAGTGCCCCGCAGGATAGTCGGTTCTGATTGGAGGAGCAGCCCATCTCTCACTGACATCACAGCAAGCCTGTAGCCGCCTAGAAAACTGCTGGAGTCGGTGGTTCGCTTAGAGAAAGCCCTGGTCAACTAAAATCAGCTCTTCGCCGGCAGTGCTGCACTGGCTCTGCTTCACTGTCTGGGGCATTGTGTTCGCAGTTATCTCTGTCTTTTAATTGTTTTTTTTTGGGGGGGTGTAAAGTATGCTGCAAAGCAAATCCAGATTTCCCAGTGAAAGTCCAAATCAAACAGAAAGTTGCTGTAAATGCAGTAGCTTAAGGAGGAAGGTGGGGGTGGGGTGGGGGGGGGGAGAGATTAATTTATTTTGATTGACAGCCATTGCTCTGTTGTCATGGAGAGGGTAGCACCAGTGATGGCCCCCACTGACAGGACTAAGTCCTCTGAAAGGAAGAGATGGGTCACTGTCATTTACTTTCACCTGCTTCTTATATTGAATCAATCTGGCAGGCAGAAATTGAGAAGGAGTCAAATCATTCTGCTTTTGATTTGGGTTTTTTTGTGTCCAGGACAAGTTTGTGTTGGTCACAGTGACAAATGCGCAGACAACACCCCCTTGTATATCCAGCTGACACATTTTTGAAAGAAAGCAATAATATAATGTCTGGTAGATCCAGTCCCAGGAGCATTTATTTCCATCCTTGGGTTTTTTATGCTTTTTAATTTTAAGGAGATGTATCCACAGAAAATAATCAGAATGAAATCGTGGATAATCTGTCCTGCTCTACAGGGGCTGATACTACCTGTCAGACTGGCTGTAGCTCATATTTATGTTGCATCTTTGATCTTGTTAATTGAACAGAGTGACCCCTTCAGCCAAAGTTTGAAGTCACAGGAAAGAAATGTACATCTAAAATGTTCAGCACCTCCGTGGAAGAAACATTGGCAGTAATTGATCGGAATTAATTATTTATTGCCACTTCATGGTTCTGTTGCAGTGAGAGAAATAGAAGTCAAACAAAACAGACTTGGGTTTTGTTTGATTAGCAATGACTTCATCCGCGCCCAGAGGGTTCCAAGGTAGCGGTTAATGGGGAACATTAATGTCTGATGGAGAGTGTTATGTCCTCACTTTATCTTTGATTGTTAAATGTTATTTGACAAACTGATTCAGAAGAGTCCGCAAGAACTGAGTCAGGCACTAAAATGAAACACAAACTGGCTAATGTCAGTGCAGCAGAACAAACCGAAAAGACTCTGCGGTGAATTAGCACAGGAAGAAATTGAATGAGACAAGAAATTTTTCAACAAAAAACGTAGCTGGGTATGCCAGGCTTTTTTTAAGCCATTACTACATTCTGAAAATAAGCAGATAAGCATTTTTAAGACATTTTCGTTTAGCTGCTTTTCTGAGTCAAACCCTTTAATTTCTTGTTTTGAAACAAAAATTCCAAAACACAATCCTTACCCCCCTCACCGGCGCACAGAACTCCGTCCCACCAGAGAGCCCCTCTCAGAAGCCACAGTCTCTCTTCGGCCTTTGGAAATCAAAAACATCACTTGAGTCCTACTGGGTCCCTGTGTGAAATATGTTTCCTGTGTGGAGCAGTTTTCATGAAATTGCAGTTAACAAGATAACGTCTGATTGCTGTCATTGCTTGTTCTGAACGATGGGATACCGAAACCACTCAGACGTTTAAGCCAAAGCAAAGTGTTGAGCTCTTTTTTTTTTGTTTTAAAACACCATAATTTTGAGCGAATGGAGAGACTGGGGTGAAAGGAAACGATTTCAGAACAATGATATTTCAAATTGTGTTTCTCTAGTTGCGTTTCCTCTCTCCCTGGTGATCCTGTCCCCTCAAATCAACGCTACCAAAGCGACACCCCGAAAGTTCCCTGACATTGCCTGAGGATTACCGCTCACCGTATTGTGACATTTAAAAATGTTTTTAAAGAGAAAAATTCCCTTTTCAGGCTACTTTCCTGCTCAGTCACTGCTCCTATTTTTCTGACATTTTGTTTGTATCTCAGCAGTTACACTCCCAGAAAGAAGAATTAAAAGAGCAGCATGCCTCATAGTTGTGCTGTATTTCATCACAAACAGAAGTATCCAAGAAAATTGGGATACCTGCCATTTCACACAGGTGTTTTATCCTCAGTGGAGTCACTTGGCTAATATTCTGTGACTCTTATTTTTAGACAAACAGCTTCCTGCTTTTTCCAAGGGTGGACTTTCAATAACTGGCAAAGAATATGTCTACTAATGAATTCTTTAAAAATGCGTACTTTATTCAATACCTTTTATTGCAGAGGAGCACTTACAAAGGCAAGGTTCATTATCGGAGAGAAGCCCATGAGATTAATTCTCTGTAATATCAGTAAATCACTTTTCTTTTTCTTAGAAAGTGGCATTGAAACTTCTAATTAATAGAGATGTACCTAAATTAAGAAATTCATGGATTAAGAAAATATAAGTCATAGACTGCTACCTAGTGATCTCTCAAGTAACTAAATTACTTTCAGAAACAAAAATATAACTTTTGTTATGCATTTAGCGCTCGTTATGGCATAATTAAAATGTAAAGTGTAAAATCAAAAGGTACAAACGAGGAATGAATCCTTGATAAGAGACCAAGAAGCTAATTCAATAAGAGGCTTGTTAGATGCATTTTATAGTTGCTCAATAAAGCTTTTTTTCCCCATAGAGTGAGAGAACCATTATCGAGCCATTTGTTTTATATCAGCTTCTCCATATATAGTAAGAAGCCATCAAAGTCTTAATTAGTTAGAATAAGGTGCTTAAATCTTACTTCATTGCTGGGCCTTAAAATAAGGTTTTGAACAAGAAAGAGCCATGCTTCATGAATTTATATGTATGGCATAACTGGGACATTTATTTAACTACATAATTCTGGGTAAATGCAGATTGGGGGAAACATTTTCATGACAAATATTTCAAACCTGTGTTCCTCCTGCTGTGTTCACTTCTCCCTGGAGTTTCTTGGTGCTGTTTTTGGTTAAATATACCCAACTTAAACTGGTTTTATAAATTAATCAATTTAATATAGTGGTGTTTGATATCTTTCATCTCCAATTCATACAACAGTAGGCTATTTTTGTCACTGTTTCTTAGGCCTTTTAGATAAAGATTTATCATATTATACTACTAAAAAATGTTGTCATTGTCAGCAAAGATGGAATACCCTCTTCACAGACTTAACCAGTATATACTTCACTCAAAAGACTTCAGTTTCTAGAAAGGTGTTCAGAAAAATGTCATTTTGATAGCAGGCAATATTTTAGGACATTTAATATATAGAAAGGAACTTATTTTTTTCTGTTGTATGCAAAAGATTGCTGAAATTCCAGCTATGCAGAAACATCCTTTTAAAAGCATTTTTGTTATTTATCGATTCTTTGTTAAAAAACGTATTGCAAGCCCTTACATATAATTATTGTGGATCAATGAAGGCTTCTCGTCACCTCCATTGTGAAACATTATGATTATTTCTCAAAGGCATGAAATATCTTGTCCATCACAGCATGTAACTTTGATTTTACACAGCGCTTATAACCACCTTTGGCAGACGGACTGGTCGTTTTCAAAAAGACCTTATGATTTGTATTCTGAACTGACTGCAACTGTACAAAGAAAGCAAAGCCTTTACGATATATTTTTTACTCTTTTTTGAAGGGCATTTATGGAAATACCTATTCAGATGAATCCGTTTCCTTAAGGAATGTATACTTCGGAAATGCCTACCCATGATTTTCTAACTTCTAATTTTCTATGGGTGCCTGCAGCGAGCTGAGGATTTTCAGGACGGAGCACTAGAAGCTCTGGTCTCACAATTCTAACGTTATAAGGCTCTGAATCAGGGGTGCCAGCCTTGCAATTTTCTTTTTACTGACTTACTGAAAGAAAATCTCCTAGTTCTTACTAAAAAACACACTATTCCCTTGGCTAATCCTCTTGGCTTGACATCTTGGGGTTCCATTTCCTGCAGTGAGAAGCTAGGGAGTTTCTTCACCCTGTTTTTCATTGCCTTGGGTTTTCTCTGCCCTTTAGACACAAACCTACCACACGAAAGAAACGGCTTCTTAAAACACCAGTGCCTTTTCTCCATCCGAAATAATCAAAATCAAAAATGGGTTTATGGATGGGAGTAAAATTGGGCATTTTTTACCAGACAGCTGGCAGCCCTGTTCTGAATTCTAGCTAGGAGAAAAATAAAATAATGGAGCAGGCAAACATCAGCAAATTACAAGTGGTGTGTGAATCCGAGGGCAGTAAATTTAAAGATGTCTGCCCTGTGAAAACGGGGGCCCTGGGTTTTTTACCCTCCTGGACAGCACAGGACCTGAATACAAAACGATCTGGTAGCAAGCAAAATGGATTGGCACATAAGGGTTCTGGGCAAAGTGCGTTTGAAGAAACAGCAGATTTAAGCCTGCTGTGCTTAATAGGATCATCTGAAAAATCTGCCTTTTTGACTGTTGGTTTACGGGGAAAAAAATAAAACTTTTATCACAAGAGCAAGCGGGGGGGTGGGGGTCGGGGGGGATGTTTTGTTAACTTGAATAGAAATGTGTTTTCCCTTGTAGGAATCCTATAGAATAGAATATTTGCGGATTGTGTACAGAATATGTACGTGTAAGTGGAAAAGTCATTTTAATTTAATTCTAGTTCTATCCTGCTCCCCATTCTCTATTAAACATAATGGTACATTACAAGCCCTCCTCCTTGTTAATCTGTCTTTTCTTGGCCGAGATTTGTGAATCCCAGTGAAATGTATGGAAATCTGGACAAGTACAGACCCTGTATAGTTTCTAGGATGTGTGCCGTATGTTTTGTATAGCGATCTATGTGGAGCACAGATTGTTTTCTGTCAGGCATGCCTTAACTTTCGTCATCTTTTTTTGGTTCTGTTTAACATAATTATATATTTTTTATTTTTTTGTAAAATAAAACCTGTTTGCTTGCTGGAATCTTTTTTTTCTGGGGGGGGGAAGAGGGTCAGATTTCACTGTATCTCAACCTGGACTATATCCTAGGTATGCGCCTTTCCGTTTTTACTTCATAACATACGTGGCTTGTGGTTACCAATGGTTATCAGCTTTGGAATTCTGTATTTTTTTATGATACAAATATCAATAAATGAAAGTACAAATAAATAAATCTGTAACCGGAGAGAGCTAACCAATTTGTCCTTGCTTTGTATTATTGTAATACTGCCTAGTAGTTTTTTTTTAGAATTTATTTTTCACTTGAATTGGTCATTACCTCACCAATGCCTCGACATTCTCTTATTAAAGGCCTTAGCGCAACCCAGTCTCCCCCTTCCTGCAATATCAATTACAAATATCTTTTTTTATTACAAAGTACTATATTGCCTCTTAATTTTTAACTTATTACAGCCCAATTTCTAACAAAGGCCTGAAAACCAAAAGGGAATTTCTTTTTAAATATATACAATACATCTGAGAAGAATTAGGAGCAGTTGTGAGCAGTGCATATATTACCAAAATTGACATTGCATTTAAAAAATTGCATGTTGCTAAATCAATAAACAATTAAATTACCCATTAAGAAAATAGGGAGAGGAGCAGGAGCAGTCATAGTTACAAGACTTTAAGCTTTAAGATGTAATATTGGGCTTTCTTAAATCGAAAAACATTAGCCTAGCATAATCAAAAAGTCACTAATGCTATTAACACTACTGTCGACTGAGACAACACCTGTTACAGGCATAGGTACAAGTATGTGGAGACAACAAATAACCCTCTTTGAATTCCAAAACTTAGCAATGCAAAATCCAATTAACTCTAACCAGCTAATTTGTCACCCAAACTATTAATGACAAGTGTTAAAACAGATACACTTCTTCCTGTAGTTTTTCTTGATTGTTCTCTTGGGGGGGAAATTCAAACAAAAGATCAAGATAGATCATGTCATGGAATAATGGTGGGTTCAGCTTTTATGGGTCGTGTCATTGCTTTGTGACTCATTACTCCAGCCAGGATCAATAAACATGACAGGTATGCGTGGATGGTGGAGGTTCAATAAACTGCCTCCCATTCGGTCATGTATCAAGCTCTCGATATTCCAGTGCACTTAGTTTACACAGTCGGTGATAGACATTTTACTATGACTCCCCAGGCTCTTACTTCCAGGCACTGAAACATTTTCTTCGGTGAAGAATCTGAAATTGTTTGGCCCCGACTCTTCTAACACATGCATCAGGCAAGGAGAGAAGAGAAATAGCAGAATCGCTGTGACTGCGGAGCGCAGAGAAAGGCGAACCGCTGAAATGTGCCTACTGCTCCATTGAGTGAGAGACTCGCAAACGGAACAGTGCGTAATCTTCCTATGCATTCCCACAAAAAGAAGTGCCCACTTCAAAAGAGATGCTGTGCACCGGTGAACTGAAAGGCTAATAAAAAGCTTGTTTTTTCCTGAAGTCTCCTCCCCTTTCACTTAGCCTTTACAAGCCCTTATGAGCAACCCCTGTGTTAGAAACAAACCAAACCCCCCTTTCTTTATCTGCAGAACACGTCGCCCAGTGGAAAACAGTTACAATACATTCTGTTTGCAATGTTAATTTCCTTCATTTAAACACATATTTTAGCATAATTAGCGGGAGCGAGACAATCTGCTGCTAATTGATTCTGCGTTCGGGCAGCTGATTGGCATTCAGGAGAGCTTTTTCTCTCTCTCACTCGAACACAAGAGGGTGAAGGGCTGGCTTTCTTTATTAATGAGGACCATCTGTGCCGATGCACAGCAGAGGAGAGAAGGGGGGGAGGTTAGCGGAAAATGAAAATGACCTGAGAACGGAATATCGAGTACTGAAAGGTAAAGGGCGCCTACACACCTCGAGGTGAGCGCTTGTAATGGCCGTCGGCGTCCCAGCGCCTTTGAGGCGAGCTGGACAAAGATTCTGGTCGCTTACCTTCTGGTCCTTCGTCCTCTTTTATCTTTCAGCTGCTTTGCTCGAAATCTTTGAACTTTTCTTTATCTGTGAGCTGAAGAACCCAGATAAGTGCAAGCAGATGTCCTCCCTTTTTAAATGAATGAGGGAGCTCTAGGCACAGAAACTTGATCTGCGGCGTGAACGTTTCCAAAAGTACGCTTGCATTCCCCCCACCTTTCGAAAAATAAACTGCAAACAAGCACCACTTGACAGATCTGGTGGAGGAAAGGGCACCAAGCTACTTGCTCACGGATGCCTTCAAAATCTGGCAGAAGTAACGCCACAAGATAAAACCGCGTTCACGTCTTCACATTCCCTTCAGGGCTTCGGCGGTTTTTAACACGCGGGTTCATTTTATTTCAAAAGCAGAAGCTAAGTTAGGTTATTTATTGGGGATGCTCATTTTCAATAGCATATTTGTGTGACTGTCCCTCCAAAGAAATTAATACAAGCAATGTAGAAAAGTAATTTCTCCCTTCATTAATAGCACTGGTATAATAAGTCATTAATCTGCGGGAGAAAAAAAATCAATTTCATGAACTACTGTAGGTTAAAATAAATGACATTTTATAGAAATAACTCTGGGGGGAGGGGATTTAAATTCTGAAATTAATGGATACTTTATAAGGACGGGGATCAACTCCAGTTATTTATCAATCCGTTAATGCACAGCACTGCATCTCAATTTTCCACATGAGCTGCCTTCAATTCGGTGCACAAGAGCACGCCGAAGATTGTAGAATATAGTATTTTATAGTTTCCCCGAACTGACAGTGCACCGCCGAGAAGCGATGACAATAATTTCATTTGTTTAATTCTTTTCACTACAGTTAAAGACTCCAAGCAGCTTTGAAAAGGAGCACCAGTCGGCTACCCCTGCTACTAAACTCGGAGCCTTCCCGACCGTGCAGGTATATTAATCCGCTGTGATTTGAGTCCTGTTGCTGCCATAATGTCTTGGTACAAGTCCTGCTGTTTTCGACCATAAAGTGATAGATAAAAAAAACGGACGTGGGACAGTCATTGTTAATCCTCTATTCTTCTAGGTAGTGCTAATTGCATTCAGAAGTCCAAAAGATCAGCGCGAGCATCATTTTTAAATAGTAATAACGTCTACACAGTGACCACAAGGCATGCAACTTTGGCTACTTATTTTTAATTTTCTCCTTGTTTGATATCCCTGTATCAACTCTTCCCTCACAAGACATAATTTGTGGGGACAAAGGACTCCCTGAGCTGCCTGCAGGGAATACTCGGTTAGTTAGCATTCGGAGAGACGCAACACCTATAAAGTATCATATACAGGAATCATGTACAGTAACCGTGTACCTGAGCAAAGAGATCAAGAAGAATTAGAACAAGGATGCCGGTCCTTAATTCCAGCCTTTGTAATTCCACAGGTGCCACATTCTGTCTGTTATGTAACATAGGAGTAAGAGGTTGCAATTAAAATAGCTGGATGTCCTTAGCAGTAACTGGAACATTGAAGTGGGCATTTTTACATTACAAAGAGTCTTAATGTTGGTAATGTAGCTTATGTGGCAGAAGGTCTGGTCACCTGAAGGCGAACCCCTGTTGACCTGTAATCTTGGTAGGAGGTTGGTGCCACTTTTAAGAGCTCTCTTGGAAGGAAAATATGTGCAGTGAATCTGATACTTGCACACAATAAGGAACAGTAGTCATCTGCATTAATGAAGGGCTTAGATGTGTATTAGTTTTCATAATAGCTAACTGTTAAATGCAAAATCCAGATATGCACAAAGTACAGTAGAAGTCAACAGTCACAATAAAAATTAAAAAAGAAAGCAGGTCTTATCGACTGGGGAAAAAAAGCTCATTTACATTTAAATAGATACAGACCGAGGAACTGGGGACGAAAAAAAACAAATATTTGCATCTGATTTAGATGAGATTATAAACTCCTGAAAAGAAATATATACTTTAGAAAGTTCTAAGACAATGCTGTTTTGCTAACAGCTTAACAAGAAACTTCAAAGACATGTTGACTCTGTGCTTTGTTTAAACCCTGCAGTCCTAGAGAAACACATTATGTCATTTATAAAACAGTCTGCAACGATTATCCATGCAGTACTTAATTCACTTTGCTTTATTGATTTATACTTATCAGTAGAAAAAGTTACCTATAGGTATTTAGTGGGTATATTAAAGTATTGTTTTTATTTTGCATATGATCATTTTTACACAAAACGGTTTTAGGCCAAATTCATAATTATAGAAATACTTATTCAGACAACAATAAAACTGCAAATATTTCAAGTCCTGAGAAAGGCAACCTGAAGAATGTGGTAAGACTTGGTATTAATCCTCGGGTTAAGGAGAGAGAGAAAAGGAGTTTTTTTTTATTAAAACAAGATCAACTTTTGTGTAATATAATATTCAATGTTTTCAGTAAAGGTGTTTGACCAAGAGACTGCTCATGTTAAGTTGCCCTAAAAACTGGTATCCTGATATCCAATTGATATCCAGATCCGTGTGAAATGAATTTGTTAACAAAATATATATTTTGCCAAAACAGCATTTCCCAAAATCTTTAACGGGATTCTAATAAATCCTCTTCAAATCACAGATTGTGCTGATTGTATCAAAATGATAGAATTTGACAGTTTTCCTCACACAAAGTAATAATACATGGCAACTCTTCTGATGGTGCATAGGGCTCATTTGATTAGCCTGGCCCAACCAACAGCATCAGCCTGAAATAATGCTAAAACCTAAAGTAACCCATCTCCCATTTTCATTTGAAGCACTGCTCTGTTGTCAGTCAGAAAGTGTGGACTATCAATAAAACAGAACAAAAAAGAGAACTTATTTATAATCCAGCTGAAGCTTAGCTCTCCGTTTGGCTTCACGATGCTCTAGTGTGTATTGATCAGTCTTCGAGTGCTCTTTGCAGCAACACAAACCTGATGTCCTATTGGTTTTGTTGAAAGTGAGGGTTCAGATCCAGTTAAAAACACGTGCTCATCTAAAATCCAGAATGCTGCAGAAAACAGCATGCCATTGACAGTTTTTATTTAATTTATTTCATTTTAGTACCACCAGAAGCAGAATTAACCCACTTCGAGGAATCCCAGAACACCTAACTGGATATTACGGAACAAAGTAATTGACACGTAAAATTTCTGTCAGCTGTCTCGGTAGTGTCTTGTAAATAAGAGAAAGAGGGAACTATCGCAGCTGTTTCATGTGAGGTTGTGGCTAATGGACTGTATGATCATAAACAAGCCACTTGCTCAGTTGCTTGTGTTAATTGTTATGGTAAAGAGGGTCATGGAAATATTGATTTATTTTATTTTATAGGGACAGCTTCAACTTGTTTTTTTTTTTATTCAGCCCAGAATAGAGGTGGACAACATGGTTAAAAACAAAGTGTTAGCACCTTACTTTCAGCAATGTCGTATTACAGACAGTTGCATGAATGTACACATATACTGGGGAATGCGAAGAGGTCAGTTATGGATTTATATGTAAGAAAAAGCTATGTTCCTATGGATAAGGATACCAGCCTGATTAATTATTGGAGCACAAAATCAAGGCTTGAAAATATTGGAGAAAAATTGATTTTTTTTTTACTGGTTTCCTGAATATATAGCCTACTAAACAGTAGTTTTTTTTTCCTTTGTAACATTCCCATTCATTATGGGGAAAAGGGAGGAAATAAATGTATCTCTGGTTGAATAATTGTTGTAGGCACTGTACCTCTGTGTGTAAAATAATAACCATCCATTTACTGCTTCAAGGGCACAGAGCCAGTCAGAATAATCTGCGCTGGGGAAGTGATTTTATGGGGGCAGTGAAATGGACATTTTTAAAAGCCTTGTTCAGTACAAGAAAGTAGTTTATAGACTTGTACTTATGGAGCTGCCTTCAGCGTTGTGCGTGTGTGTAACTCAGTTTATATTCGACCAAACCCTGCAGTGACTCAGTGGGGCTGAAGCTGGTTAATCTACTTGAGCAAGAAAGGTTAGGCTTATTTACATGAAAACTCTGGCTGTACAATGTCTTCCGCACACTGCTGGGCTCGTGCTTTCAGAGGAAAGCCTTCAAATGAACTCCCAGCAAAACAAGAGCAGCTCAGTCATGATCGCCACAGGACGGGTCCATGATTTTAATTACAACAAACCCTAGACCAGCAACAACCTGCCCGTGGATGACAGATTCACCCTTTGTAGCTTTCACAAAATAAGTTTCATTTGAAGTGTTCCTAAAACTCTGTTGACAGTTCACTCCTAAGCTTTGACCTGTTTGTTTGATACAACAGAAGTGGTGTCACAAAATTTAATTATTTCTTTTTCTTTTTTTCGACACTCAGCGGCCAACTATAAAAGTTCAGCTGCTTTTGCATAAATTTCCACTACACTTGAAATTTCGCAAACTGTCACCATCAGGAAACAGCCCCTTCCACACCTGCTGGGGCGCCGAGTGATGTACTCATGGGTCTAACTTGTTTGATGTGCAGGATCAGGTCATCGTGTCTTTTTGCGACGGTACTGAACCACAATTCTGGTTCATCTCAGGGTATCCTTTCCTTTATACAGCCGCTAAATGCTGCCCGTGTGTTGCTTGTTCTGTGAACATTGACACCATTTGTTCTGGATTACACGCTCAGTTAGTTCATTATCTTGTTTGTGTTTTTGAACGTCAAGATTTAGATCCAGTTCAAGTCAAGAGATGCTGTGGGCTCATTTTCCTGGCCATGTGAACTTGGCTACCAATGACTATTTTAGAGAATTAATCATTGGTAGCCAAGTTCACATGGCCAGGAAAATGAGCCCACAGCATACATTCAAACAGAGAAGACAAGAGAATTCTCATGGAAATGCTTGGTATTAATGTCACCTGCATTTCTTTGCCATCCCATTGCACAGAGCAGGTACAGGGGAGGTGACAAAGTGACTTTTCCCCCTGTACAGAGGGAGTAGCATGTATTCAAAACATATCTTTGACAAAAACAAATCCTTTTCAAATGTAATTTGGCCTGGAATCGTCCATTCACATGGCAATGTGAGTGAAAATAGCAGGCTAACCCCACAGAAAAAAACTCTAATAAGAAAACTGAAAGATCTGGAAACTTCAGATGCTATAAAAAGGATTTTCATCACAGTGATGACGCGTTTACTGCCACCAGTTGAACCCACAAGTCCAAATTCCTTTACCAACTTAATAACATTTAAATTGGTCTGAGGTTCCTAAGGAAATTCACAAGGTGCATTTTCTCCAGCAGCTGGCAGGAATGGACCATTAGCAAACCTTGTTCTGTTTTTCCTGCTTAAAATCCTATTACAGTAATTACAGTTGCTTTGGAATCTTGTGATTGTTCCTGAGCATTTGGCGACTAAAATATTGTGGAGACTGCGATCTTTTATGAGGGATTGTGGTGCTGGGAAAAAAATAAATGCTATTAAAAAAAAGACTGCCAAGAACTTTCATTCTGAAATATCGCACTGTTGCACACATGCACATTTACAATGCTTCTCCATCAAGCTAATTCTGTCTCTATTGCTAGAGGTAACAAGCACCGTCATTTATAATGAGCATTAAAGAAACTGGCTTTGGTATCAAAGGTTCTGACATTTGTCTCCTGTAATGTTAAATATTCTGCGATTGAGTGTTTGAAGTTTTGGATAAGCAGGAGTGTAAAAAATGAAGAAAACTGGCCCAGGGCAACATCAGCAGCCCCCTGTGCTTCACAGTGGCATTGTAAAAGCAATTTGTAGTTTTGCAAGAAGGAAAGAAAATGACTTGTCTTCAGTCTACTAATGTTACTGCTTCCTCTGTGAATTAATCAGCAGTTGAAGTGCCTCGCATGCTCGCTATTTTGTTCATGTGGTTCATTGTCTGGTACATTCTTGCAATTTTAGAATATAATTAGATCAAACTAATTGCAGCTGCTTGCTCTGAACTGTTTGTGTTAGGCGTGGGTTCAAATGTTGGGAAAGGAAGAGTGTGCTGTGATTCTTAACGCATTTCTTCCCCTGAACTGTGACGAGCAGCCCGGGCTGGTGGCATTTAGGCGAATGCGTGCGTGCTCGCGCTCTCGCCTAAATGACCACTGGGATCCAGCCGAGCTGATCAACGTGAAGGAGGTGATGGGAAACGTAACACTAATCTCCCATCACCTGTCTCTGGCAACCCGGGAGAGTTGGGGTCTGTTTATCGTTGTGCTGATTGCCATTCTAATCATGATGAGGACACCTTCAAGCCCAAAAAAAAACACACCAGAGTGCACCCTGTGAGTGAATGCTCCCCCCCCCCCCCCCAAAAAAAAAGCCTTGTCCTCTTGTCATCTATTGCCCGTCACGTTAGCTGATGAAAGGTTGGGAGAAAGATAAACCCACAGCGGCTGGCAGCAGTGGGTGATAAAGAGGATTAACAGAGCGTGAACAGACGGCACTATAGGCTGATAACTAACCTTGGTGAAAGACAAACCCAATGGCAGGAGCTAAATAGGTGTCAGACGCTTTGGCACTGGGCTGATGTGGGCCTGGGTCTTGAAATCCTCTCCAGTCGCTGAGCTAGCTTCGTCGTAGGACCTGACCTGAGTTAACAGGTCTGGAGCTGCGGACTAATACTGAGGTCAGATAAGATCACTTCATTGGCCATATACAATTTCTTTTATTGGGAATTTGTCTTTTTGCATACCCCAGCTTGCTCTCCATGAGACACAGACACACAGACAGGGAGAGAAGCTGGGGGTCAGAGCGCAGGGTCAGCCATTTATACGGCGTCCCTGGAGCAGTTGGGGTTAAGGGCCTTGCTCAGGGGCCCAACGGAGGAGGATTCCTCTGCCGGCCGTTGGATATGAACCGGCAACCTTTCAGCCACATCTGGGAGGTAGTGACACAAGAAGAAATCTTTGCTCCTTTGTCAATGAAGAGTCGGCAGCTCATTAAACTTTGCAGTTTTAATTAAGTTGTAAAACCTAACCATCTAGGTAGATCCTAATGGCTATTCTGTGTATAAGGAAACATTATTTGTGCCACGGTCATGTTTTTGATGCTAAAAAAGACTGAACCATTTAAAATGTCTGAACACAGGCTGACTGTGTTCTCTAGAGTGAAAGGCGCAATGGCAGCTCAACGCTCAATTTCCTTTTTATTGTCAACACCCCTTGCGGCCTGCCCGCAAACAGCAGAGCTTACTTCTGGAAGGAGACAATCTGGGAAACTGTGGCTTTGCCGTTTGAGCGCATTCACAAAGGATTGTGTGTAGCGGCCGCAGGGGTGTTCTCTCTGGCCTTTCCCTGTTTGTCTAGGGGCTAATCGTTTTGAATGGCTCTGGGACAGCAGTCTGAGGAGAGTGTCCTGCTGGAGCTCGTCTTCTGGCAGTCAGGCCTAGTAAAGTGTTCCCAGCCCTGGAGTCAGGCTCAGCCCAGCTCTGGGTAATGACTCACACATGTGCAGGCTATCTTCCTATCGAGGGCAAGCCAAGACTTTAAAGAAACCCAATTAATCTTAAGACCTGTCTCTCCTCATTAACATTACTTTCTACAGGGATGGATGAAAAAGCCAATTACACTTTGAAGTTGTGATTAAACACTGACGGGGGAGTTAGGGGATGCATTTTTGTTCTTTAATTTAGATTTTTCTTCTCTCCTATTTTCTTACAGTGAAAAAATCGTGTTTTTGTTCATTATAGTAGTGAAATGCATGCACAGTCTGAGGGCTGTCTTTTTCACGTCTTTAACCCAGTTTAGCCTACAAGAGGCCGAATTAAAGCAAAAAAAAACAACAACCTCAATGCTCATTTTAATTGTACACATTTACATAATTCTTTTCATTTTTTTAAATGGGTTCTCTGTGCGTGAACACTAACGAACAGAAAAAGAAATATGGCAGAAACAGCCTCTGTCACAAAAGATGATGATGATGATGATGAAGTTTTATTAAATTTTAATTGAATAAAAACAGGGCGCGTCGCAAATCACAGAACGCTGTTCAGTTGCTTGCATTCTTTCTAATTTATCTATTGAAGAATCTTGTCTCACTGTTTCTGGGAGTTTTTTTAAGATAAAACAGATGTTCTGAAGGAGGTCAAATTATACACTTTCTTGTGTATAACTATCTCGCCTGATAAGCCCCCCCAAACACACACTTCCCCCCTCCCTCCAGCTCATCTTCATCCCTGCAGCACAGAGTGAGAGGGGTGTCCTGTCAGCCTTGTCCGTGCTGCCGGGTTTCTGTTCCCACAG